AACTAGGGGTGAACGTTTCGTTCACCCGGAAAACCGTCAACAACATACGGTTCTTTTATATGAATCAGGAGTGTACCAGCTTACTTTCAAATCCAAACTTCCAATAGCTGAGGACTTCCAGGACTGGGTATTCAGGGAAGTCCTCCCATCTATACGAAAAACTGGCACATACAGTTTACCGGATAGAAGGTCACTTAGATACAACCAAATGATCCTATTAAATGAAACAGACCTCCACCACACAGTCGTGAGTTACATCAGGGACAACGACCCAGAGGCTGTGGTAATACCCGGTCTAGGTGAGTATCAGGACACATCATCTAAGAGATGTGATGCCTGGAAGAAGGGATACAAAGGTGGTCAGCCAGATATTATTATAGAGAATCCTATGGGGAAGTATAAAGGATTTGCCATCGAATTCAAGTCTCCCAAAGGCACCGGAGTCGGAGGCAAGTGTTATGGTTCCACAAACTTATGAAGATAGGTTACATGGTGATGGTGTCAGATGACCTTGTAAAAACTTGCATTAGAATCAACGAATACTTTTCACTTAAGAAGGTCGCAAAGAAGGTCACAGTGAACAACACACAGTGCGCTGTAAGGTTGTACAGACCTAGGTTCAGTTCAGGTAAGTACTAGTCAGGTCATCTCACCAGCAGATTTGAGATACCTCACCAGCAGATTTAAGTTATCTCACCAGTTATCTCACCAGTAGATTTAAGTTATCTCACCAGTAGATTTGAGACATCTTACAAGTAAATTTAAGTTATCTCACAAGTAGACTCTAGATGTCTCACAAGATAAAACCCAGTTAAACCTAAGGTATCTTACAAGTAGAATGGAAGATAAATCCGAGCAAATTCAAGCACAAGTAACAAGTGAGAAGAAGAAGGACCCGAAGAGAGTAGCGGCAGGAAAACGATTAGCTGCAATCAGTAAAATAGCAAAGGAGAGGAAAAAGAAACTTGCAGAACCTAAGGAGCCATCAAGTAATGACAGTATGATTACCTACGTAGGAGTGGCCATTGCACTGGTATCTCTAGTGCTAGCATACAAGTCGCATCAGAGGGAAACAAAGGAACTAGAACCTAAGTACATCCCTGAGACTGTTGAGGTAACTAGGAAAGCTGACGAGTCTAAGTTAGATTCACTTGAATGATACATTAAACATAATATATATTATAACAAGATGAGTAAAGAATCAAAGATGACGAAGGAAGTGTACAACGCAGTGTTACTCACAGCAGGAGCAGTCGGTATATCAATGGCATCGAAGAAACTATTAAAAGAACCATTAGGCACCCCAGAGAACGTAAAAGGAATGGCAAAGTTAGCTGTCTCAGTTAGTCTTTCATCTCTACTAGTATCTTACCTGAAAGATAAGAAGTATCTACCAGATGATCCATTCAAAACCTAGGTAAGACTATACAATGGCGTCAGCAGTAGCGGGAGGACTATTTAACGCATTTGCATTTGCTGGAGCAGGATACCTATTTAAGATGTTTGATAAGAACGGATATGCTAAGGAAGCCCATAGACATAACATTGCAATGGAGAACCTAACAGCTGAGAGAGAGAAGTACCTTGAGGAAGTCACCAACAGGAGAAATAGAATAGCCAAACTGAAGTCAGAACTGGCTGAGGCAAGTAGGGATATTAATGCAACAAATAAATCACTGGAACTCGTTAGAAGAATCAATGAGTTAACACGTAAGGCTATGCCGAGGAGGCCGCAGTTAAGCAATCACTACAAACCTAGCTCTGAGATGGAAGAATATATGGCAATCTTTGGTTTAATTATAGGTGGGGTGGTTGGAGGGGCAGCTTACTTAATTCTATAAAAAATACAGCAATTTTCTTTTACATATATAATATAGAGAAATGGATTGGCTTGCAATGGTAGACGTTGACGAAGTGGTGGCCTTGGGAAAAAGGGTGGACACCATAGAAGAACTAGAGGCCGCAGTCAAAAAATATGTGGAATGGCGAATAATAAGGAGGCGTAAAAATAAACCACAAAAACAAGCAGAAAATTTTAACACATATAGTATAGGGGATGGACTGGCTGACACTGGTAACACCTGATGAAATGGAACGAGTCGGTAAGAACGCAAACACTATTGAGGAGCTAGAGGCTATAGTAATGAAATACGTAAGAAATAAAATGAAGGTCAAACACGCACGCGATCCGGCGTGCGTTGAATGTGGTAGTAAGTCAATTGTGGTAATAGATGGAGCAGATACATGCACACGTTGCGGAACTAGTGCTATAAACAACTTCACATACTACGTTAGTTACAATCACAACAAGGACGACTACCTGAAAAAGAAATCGTCCCATAATAGAGTCCGTTGGTTTGAGAGACACTTATTCGAGCATGTTGCTTCTGGGGATAGGGATACCATAAGGGAGCAGTTTAGAAGCACTGTAAGATGTATACAAAGACTTAAACTGCAACGGGGGCGCAACATAGTTAGATATAAGTTTTACCTACTAAGGTTAGCCAGCATGAACAACATCATGTTGAGAAACCCACCTGAGGACATCAAGACTCAAAGAATTGTGAACATCCTTGAGGACAGACTATATGGAAAGGTTTTCCCCGAGTTGGGATGGGAACCCATAAATTGTAAATATTATAATAACTGGAAATTTAGACATAAATAAAATATTAATTATTGGATTAAATAAAATATTAATTATAAAAATAAATAGTTGAATAAAAAAAAAAATAATTAAATAAAAATAAATAATTAAATAAAATATTAAATTAAATTAAAATATTAAATTAAATACAAAATTAAATAGACCTTAAAATAGGTCTATTTTTTTTACCTATAGTATATAGAGAAAGAGTGTAAAATGGCGACAAACTTTAACATGAACGATATGACTGTTGAACAACTTATGGCGCTTAGTGAGATAATTGATGATAGCGATTATGAGGAAAATTTCGAGGATGAAGTGGAGAAAATATCTGAGGATAAGTTCTATCGAGTTGCACCTAAGGATAAGGGCAAAGATCCCTTTGAAGGAGAAAGACAATTCATAGATGAAGGTGACCGTTCTACTGACCCAAAAAGACCAAGGAGACTACCACTAAACTACAAGGGTAAAAGGGGAATAATGCCGACATGGAAATATTCCGAGAGACAGAAGGCAAAGGCTTTACTAGTCGAGGCGTATCAGAGCTTACTTAGTAGAGGAGTTGAAGGTCTACCACCAACAATGGGAGGTAGATGGAGAACGGATGATCCTCAGGTAAATGCGGAGATGAAGAGGTTAGAGAACCTTAGGAATCCCAAGCGTCCAAGAGGCAGACCACCAAAGGCTAAGGCTGACGGCGCTGTTAAGGCTCCCCGAGGACGACCACAAAAGGTTAAGTCCGACGCTGAGGTTGTGATTCCAAAGAGACGTGGAAGACCACCAAAGGTTAAGTCCGACGCTGAGGTTGTGATTCTAAAGAGACGTGGAAGACCACCAAAGGTTAAGGTAGCTGAAACACCAAAACCTAAGGTTAGAAGACAAACAGTCGCGGAGAGGTTTATAAGTCAGAACCGAATAAAACTCTCAGTTCCCGCGGATAGTGTTATAACTCAGGTGGGACCAAATAAGTTCACGGTGACTGTGGACCTTAGTAAGAAACCTACAAGGAAAGCTCCTGAGGTACCGAAAGGTGTGGCTTCATGGAAACCTACTCCTAAACCAAGAACTGTGATCCCTAAGGAAAGACCAGTTCCTAAACCTAGAACTGTGATCCCTAAGGAAAGACCAGTTCCTAAACCTAGAACCAGAAAGCCAGTGTCTCCTCCAAAGCTAAGAAAGCCTGTGAAGTTAATGAAGGAGGTTGGGGAACAGCCTGTAGTGGTCGCACCAGAGAAACATGAAATTGATCCATTTGGAACATACCTTGAGAAGCCGTCCTATAGGAAAATAGAAACTGCTGCAAACGGAGCAGCTGTGACTTACTCAATAACTCCAAATTATATGGATCCCCTGGACCAGATGACCGCAAGTAGGCAGGTGGTGAGAGGAATATTAGTGAATGAGTTGAAGAGAATGGGAGGTCTAAAATACACGGAAACCATCAAGGTAAGAATGTCAAAGGAAATTGGAAATGACAAAACAAAGAAGGATTCAATATACTTCAAGTCAAAAACTGGAACTGCGACCAACTTTGAGGATATCGAAAGCACTGCAGCTCAAAACCAACTGACCATCTTATCCAGAATTGAAACCTTCCAGAACTTAGGTTCAAACTGGATTATTCTGAACATTGAGAGTCACTACATTAATATTGCGATGTACAAACCTCTAAAGGGTAGTTCATATATGAAATTACCCGCAGACATTAGCAATCCAAAATGTGGACTCATAAATATGCAAAACGATGACAACAAATGTTTTATGTGGAGTCATCTAAGACATGTAAGACCAAGAGCAAGAAGAGCAACTACCATAACACGGCAGGACAGAGAGTTCGCGGAAAACCTGGACTATGAGGGTATCGACTTCCCTGTAAAGATAAGCGATATTGATAAAATTGAGAGAAAGAATTCGATAAGCATATCAGTGTTCGGCTATAAGGGCAAAAAACAGTTCTACCCAATCAGGAACTCAAAGACTAAATATGACGAACATATGGAGCTGCTGCTGTTAGGTGACAACGAAGGTGGTAACCACTACGTTCTAATAAAGGATGTAAATAGAATGCTCTTCAGTGTTAGCGGAAACTCAAACAAGAAACACTTCTGCCTATACTGCCTTCATAGTTGCGTTAGCGAAGAATCACTGAAGAAACATAGTGAAACGTGTATTAATGTAAATGAAACCCAGGCCACAAAGCTTCCAGATGAAGGTACAAAAATAAAGTTCGGACACTACAGGAACTCGATGCCTGCACCCTTCGTGATCTATGCTGACTTTGAGTCTATGCTGGTTCCTGAGGAAAGAAAAGTGGACTCTGAAGACACTGAGGAGAAGAGTACAACAGAACTTTACCAAACACACAAAGCTTGTAGTTTCGGGTTGAAAACAGTGTGTCATTATGATGATCAGTATTCCGGTGAATACGTAAGTTACGTTGGCGCAGACGCTACGGAAGTCTTCTTAAAGACAGTTCTGAAGGAATCCATCAGGTGCCGAGAAATGGTAAATAAGATCTTCAAGAAAAAGATGGTAATTACACCAGAGCAAGAAACCGAGTTCTGGATGACAAGGAACTGCTCCATATGTGGCAACGACTTAGGTGATGATAGAGTGAGAGACCACGACCATGTAACGGGACTGTTCCGTGGAGCTGCTCATAATATGTGCAACTTGAAATATAGAATTACATGGAAAGTTCCAGTGGTCTTCCACAATCTAAGAGGTTACGATAGCCATCTAATAATGCAGGAGATCGGTAAGTTTAAGATGAACATTAACGTTGTCCCAAATAACATGGAAAAATACATTTCCTTCTCGTTAGGTAAAAG